CTGCATTGTCATTAGTTAAAACATTTAATTTAATTGTGGCTTTTAAGGTTTTAATGTGATTATGCAATTCGTAGAATTTTCTCATGTATCACTTTCTTTAATTTTCTTTATTCGTCATGCAGCACGGTTTTTAGTCTCTATCTCGTATTTCACGTATGTGAATCACTGTCTAACACATTGCAAGACACATTAACGAAGGAGGAAACCGAAAAACTGTAAACTGGACAGCAAGCCTGTAAATTATTTATGACATCTGAATAAGATGAGTGATGACATCGCTATCAAATGCAAGGGTTGCCATAATTTCCAGGAACCAATACGGGACACGATTTCCAAGTCCAAAACACATTAACATATTTTACGCCGAAACGCAGCATTTAAACTACACACAAGCGTGCATGATATCTGGGGAAAAATAAACCACGCATTTTCGATTGGCGAAAGATAAACAGATATTTTCAATCGACTGAGATAACCATTCCATACAGATTTTACAGATAGATGCAGTTTCAACTGCATAGTAGTACTGATGAATGAATAGGGCTAATAGAACTAATATAACGAACTACTACTCGGTTACAATATCTCTACACATCGCTCGATGATGTCAAATTCACGGTACGGTGTGCTAAATAAATAAGCACCTCTAGAAATATGATATTTTTACCCGACTGTCGAATGTATATGTATGAGGTTTAGATAGAAGGATTTTGTGATTGAAGGCATATTTCTATATATCTATAAACACTCACGCCTGTCACCCAGAGGGGTAGGCAGAGACTACAGACTTCCATTTGGCACGATCCTGACACACCTCTCTTGCCTCCTTCACATCCATACACCTACGCATACATGCTCGTCGGTTAAGGGTACTCCTAATTTGGCCCGTTTTCAATAAATCGCCAATTTGGTCGATAAATTTTCACCTAGGACGTCCCTTTCCGACTCTGCCATTCACTTCTGCACCATAAATTTTCTTTGTCACTCTTTCCTCATTCATTCTTTCCACATGACCAAACCACCGAAGCATTCCTTTCTTAATCCTGGTCACAACATCATCTTGCAGACCACACTCTTCTCTTATTACACAATTTCTTACCCTGTCATTCAGATTCAGCCCTAACATACTCCTTAACGACCGCATTTCTACTGCGTTTATTCTACTCTCGTGCTTCTTCTGCCACACCCAACTTTCACTACCATACGTTAAAGTAGGGTCCAACATTGTGAATTTCCACACGTGTTTTTCGACACATTTTGACTCTTCACAATAGAGTGCAAGGCCCCAGTTACTCTATTTCCCGCATTCACTCGTCGTTCTATATCCTCATTAAAAGAAAGGGGATCATTAAAAGAAAGAGGTATGAAAGTGAACGCAAGTAAGACGAAGGTTATGGTTTTTGAAAGAGAAGAAAGTAAAACGATTTGTGAAATAAGAATAGAAGGGGAGTTGATCGAGCAAGTAGATGAGTTTGTATATTTGGGCTGCGTATTTAGCAGATATGGGAGATATGATAAGGATATAGAACGACGAGCATATTTATTAATTAACTAATGAATAGTAATAGACGATACAGGATTAAATCCTATGTGTCGTTTTTGGTTTTAGTGATGGAAGCTTAATAAAACAGTATTGAATTCAAAATATATCATTTTTATTAAAATTATTTTCTTACATTATTACTAAATTATTTATTATTTAGCAATATGATGATGATAATGCATATGCATAACGATTTCTTAAATTTACGTGAACACAATACATTGAATATATATATATATATATATATATATATATATATATATATATATATATGGATTTTGTCGCGTTTAATTAACTTATTTTTATTTCTCCAACGTTTAAATTTAACAAAATATACAAAAAACTAATATAACGTGAAAGCAACCAAATTATCGAGCCGCATATCGGCAACAAAGATGCTAACCATACTGACGCGATCGGGACAAGCGCGGCGTGGTGAAGGGATGCACGAGGGGCATCGCATTACAGCGAGGTGCAGAGATTGTAAACTAGTACGGAGCGATATTTAAAATAATCAAGCAGGCAAAATATAAGGTTAGAGCCGTGCGTAAAGTTTTTCAAAACGACTATAAATCAATAGCACGCTACAGACTATAAACTATAAATTTCTAGCGCGCTATTAAATACGCTATGCTATAGCGCGCTATTTATAAGAAAGCGTGTGGGAGGCCGGCAAGCGCGTAGTATTACAGCACGCTAAATACTGTAGCATGTTACATTACATGCCGTTCGTTGGATAGACCGCGTGCTATATAAGAACATTATTTCGTAATTAGTCCCATTATAGATTAAAATAAAATAAATCAGAAAGAAAAATCAATGAACACTCTTTCATACTTTTCAGGCTTAAGACTATGTATAATCGATGTAAACGTTATTTTAAAATATGTAGATTATATATACAATAATCACCTATTTACATACACTATTATATACAATTTTGTATACATATTTTATTTACATTTAAAAAATTAGTTAGGCTACTTTTGTAGCAGACTACCGTGTCCTTCGGTTAGACTTAGTTAGACTAACTAAATAACGTCTAACACGAAATTAGGTCGCGCGCGATGAATAGCGTGCTGCTAGAGCAAATTTGCATCACACGTCCACTACCAACAGCACTACTGTTAGAACTAATTGCCGCTAGATATTAATAGCACCAAAGCGCCATAGTGCCAAGGCGGCTACTTATATAGCACGCGCTTTAATATGGCGCTATGCGCTATAATAACCACCATTAGCAGTGCGTTAGCGCTGTACGGCCTGTACCACACCTTCACCTCCGTATTTTGTCGACAAATGGAACAAATACGGGACATGTATATATGACAAATGCCACCAAGGCGGCGTGACAAAGGCACCGTATCTAAGCGAACAGACTATAGATATATGGGACGAGATGGTCAAATATGGTGACAGTCCTGTATATACGGGACGTATGGAGACTCTACATACTGTATAATTAGTTCAATATTTTGGTGCTACCAGAAACGAATATAATATTATATTAATGTTTAATAATAGGTCTTTATAATATATGAAATTTTTAAAATATGGAATTCTTATACAAAATTAGTCATTTTCTATTGATTAGCGTTATGTTTTCATCGCATTTGAATCTTTTTTAGCAGCAACGCGATACAAACGGCACGCAACATTAACGACGTTTACGGGGCGACTGCAAGCGAACACACCGCCTGTTAACAGTGATTTTATATATTTTATTATTTTTAATAGTGCACAAAAATATATCGGATATAACTACGGAATATTTAAAATTTGGGAGTGTCTAATTTATCTTTAGCGAATTCGTACTAATTATTACAAAAGCCATTTAGCTGACCAATGGCAATATTAATATTCGGTTTCAGTTCAGCCCGCCCCGTACCTTAGGTATTTTATATTTTATTTCCGCTTTCCCCACTTACAAAACTGACTGGCGCTAAACATGGAATGGTCAAAAACAAATACGTTAAAATTTGTCGAGCTCTGGCAAGGGTTTCCATGTTTATGGAATAATAAAATAAGTGATTATAAAAACAGGCAAATGCGCCGAGATGCTTATTAAATTTAGCACAGCAAATGAATTTAGACGCTAATTCATAAATTAAAGACAAAGTCTGGAGCTGGGCTAGATGAGGTAACTCATTCTAATTGGTATGCTTTTGAGTATTTGCGTTTTTTTAAAGGATGTTAATGTACCACAACCTAGTACTGATTCATTAATGGTAAGTAGAGTTTTTTAATTTGTCAGTACATATTTGCTTGTCGACATAAATAATCTTCAGTTCGTAATTACTTTAGTTGTATTGAGTGTTTATGTATGTTTTAATGTTCTTGAATTCAGCATACAAGGGAAAAGTTGTGTAAATTTTGTACACAACTTTTACATCAAAAAGTAGGTTTTAAAAAGTACAAGACTCATATCTAACTTATTAAAATCTGAATACTATTGTTCAATCATGATCAAATTATGATTATTTTTCAGTTGTTTTAAACTATAAAAGGTAGAAATAATTGTATGTTGTTGGTAGGCTTAAGTGATAAAAAGAAACAATAATAATTTCCATATTTATTGAGTAAATCATTAATTGCAAACTACAACTATTTATGTATACCTATTTTGCCACTACACACTCCCAAGTCAGTCATAAAGTATTCTTTAAATTCATTTCTTACCACCAAAGTTTCAATTCTATCTCGCCTAGGCACTCTTTGAAGAGGTAGAAGGCTCACATTACTGTTTGCCAAGTTCCTAAAGTTATTTCATCATTTTCCATGTTAGGTGTAACAAATGTCCCATCAGGAGGCTAAAAGTTACTAGGATTACGATTTTTTCGTAAAAAATTATGTAGATAGACACAGGCAAGGGTAACTAACGAATCTTTTGAAGGAGAAAGTAAAATTGGTTGCCGCAAGACTCTGAACCTTGCTGATAATATCCCAAAGGCATTTTCGGATACAACCCTAGCTCTGCTAAGACAGTAATTAAATATTCTTTCAGGACTGCCTGCTATTTGAGCACCAGGATATGGTTTAATTAAAATATTACTTAAAGCGAATGCATCGTCAGCTACAAAAACATAAGGGCAGCGTTGTTATCTGCCAGATAATGGTTGTGGAGATGGTATATTTAAATTATTGTTAGTTAATAATCTGTACAAATTTGTGTTATTAAAAATCCCACCGTCTGATATTCGTCCTTGTACTCCTACATCAACATAAATAAAATTGTAGTGTGCGTCTACCAACGCCAAAAGTACAATACTGATTTTTTTTTATAATTAAATTATTCACTTCCACTGTTAGCAGGTTTTATTATTTCCACATGTTTTCCATCCAGTGCTCCTAAACAATGTGGAAAATTCCAGTGTTTTTCAAAATCTTTTGCAATTTCCTTCCATTCATTTGTATTTGAAAAAAAAAAACAAATTAAATAATTTTTACTTTATTACAGATTACTCAAACAGAAAATAAGCTAGAAGAAGATAGCATAATGGATGAGAATGAAAATAAACAATCCCAGACGCACTTTAAAAAGGAAATGTGATACTCAGTTAGGCACACTCAATTTATTAAAAGATGCATCAAATGATATTATTAATAAGCAAAAAAAAGATGAGTTTTCTATTTTTGGAGAAACAATAGCAAGTGAATTAAGAGACATAAAAAATAAAAGAGAATTGTTAATTCTAAAAAAAGAAATAATGGACCTAATATTTAAACCAAAGTTAAAAGTTTTAGAGTTCGAAAATATTGTACCTCAGTCTCCCATTCAACAGGATATTGTGACTGAAGAAGAAATAACAGACCATTTGTATGAGAATATTAGTTCAATAACTGCAACTGCGGTATACAACAGCCCATTATAATTACATTGTTATAATTTTTGTATAACAGCTCAATAAAAAAGCAGTTTTTATTAAAGTTGATTATTATTATAAGTAGCAAATTTAGTATATTTTTTGAAATGATTGTTATAATATTCTTAAAGAACCAAAAATGTTAGACTGTGATTGTTAAAATTATGTTTCATAAATAAAGAAATTATTTAAAATTTAAGCTTTTCACTTACTTTTACATACTCTGCAAGTACTTGTACAAAAGCTTTACAAACTGCAGGTAATGCATACCTGCAGTTTGTAAAGCCACTTATTTTTGTTTTTGATATTCTGCTCAAATACGTAAGCGATGAATATGAATCCCCAGTTGCTAAATACCGCAGAGTTACTAGTAATTGATCTTTAGGTGGTATAGATTGCCTGAAGTTAGTGTTGTTTTAATAATTGGGGCAACTTTCGATAGTAGTGTTTAAAAATCTTCATGCGAAATTCTGAGAAAATTTCTATAACCTTGCACATCTTGAATGAGCAACTCGCTCAGTAACAAATTGGAGGCACCATGAATTTCTCTATTTCTTAAAAAGTTGCGCGTCCAAAACCTCGGTTTCTTTCTTTTTTGCTGTAACTGTACAGCACAGGTACTTAAAAAAAATAAAACCTCTTCATCACTAGAATCCATTCTTGTCGAAAATTCTCTGGTTGACTTGAAAAGTTGAAGTGCCTACAAATTATGGAGTGCAGAGATATAGTGTTCTGTGGTAGATATACAAATACAAAATTAACGTCAAACTTATTATTCAACATGACAATATTTCTACAAATTTGTTTTCAAACATTTTGTTTCTGTAGTTATATAGATATAGTATAGTTATAATATGTAATGTACAATAAACTGTCAAACATATTTCACTAAACATGTTCTTTGACAATGAAAACGCTTTTTGTTACATTGACAGAAAACAGTGTTTAAAACATGTTTTTTTTTTTTGTAAAATCGCGTCAGTGCAAACGCACGGTAAGGTGAATTTAAGGTGATTTTTAATGTATATAATAATGCCACCCCCTCTTTTACTAGACCGTAGTAGTGCGTACATGTTATAGCCCGTCAAGTTATATAGATTTACAATATTATTGGAAGTACCAGCCTATGTTACGACTATAATGTCTACAGGGAACGTGCGGTTATGAATGACTTGTCGTAATTTCGTAAAGTTTTTTATCATAGATCTTATATTAACGTGCCAACAAGAAAAATTTTTAAATGACATTTGCTAGGTAGCTGTTTGAAAAACGAGTTTGTTGAAATACAATTTGTTAATTTATTTATTTGTTCTGACATTCTATTACAACTGTTTTTAATTACGAAAGCTGTGATTTGAAAGTTAGTGACTAATTTAGAAACACGGAAATTTTAAATTTTAAAAAAGAATTGCATTCTAAGAAAAGCCTACATGCCTTGGCTTACAGCCATAAAAAGTCTCAAAAGTTGAAAAAACATGCGTATTATTAAATTATGTTATATGACAGTCTAATTTCTATTAAATTGTTAAGTCTTCTTCGGTTTAAGTACTCCAAGGAACTATACAGACGAAACAATTCCCTTTGCAGGATCAATTCACAGAACATGATAATTATCTTTTGTTTAATAAAGTACCAGTACTTCATAATCACATCTCACATCATTCGACTATTTAACATATCAGATTTGGTTACTACTTAATCCCTTGACATTTTAAGATTTACGATCGGTTGTGATTACATTATGAAAATAAAAAAAATCACAACAAACAAACAACCACAAATATTATAAAACATAAAAAGCCTCCATGTTTTCCATTTTCCATGTTTGTCGGAATATGTTGTGGTGTGTTTGATCATTTAGAATATCACCACATAAGTTTTTAGACGGTGAGTGGATTTATTTCTATTTTGTATGCCTTTTGTAGGAGTCGTTAATAATTTTACCGTCACTTAGTAAAAAGAAAAAGAAACCAATACATAAAACCTACTCTTTCCATGGTAGCTCTTTCACTACCTTTTATATTACAACAAATGACCCCTTTTATATTACAACAAATGGCCTTAAGGCATAAAAACAATTTGCTTGCCTACGCTATGTTATGCAACTGCTGCAATGTTAGAAAGGATACCATCCAACCATGTATGTCTTTCATTAAAAAAGTTTTGTGAAGTGCCGTGGCAGTAAAGGAGCTGGTTTGAGTCCTATTCAATATTCCAGGTGTCTTTTAAATAGTGCAGGTTTTTTTAATGATGAACATAAATCCATTATGACAAATAAATACAATTAATCATCGTAGCTGTTATCTGTATGGTCCGATTTCATTCAAACTTGTGGTATCTACGAAAAAATAAATAAAGTATATTGTTGTACTCTATTACCGTTAACAGCCTAACAAAAGTCTACTACTGTAAATAGGTCTCCTTCAAAGATTGGAATCATCTATCCTATCCATGGAATCATCGGGAGGATATTTACCAAAGTTGCCACTTGGCAGTCAGCGACAACCGCATTTTTTAATTCAATTGCTATGAGGAAGATACTTCTGCACATCTCCTGGTGCAGTTTTCGGATCGGATTCGGATCTCGGATAATTTTTTTGGTAGGTAACTTACTTTGTGGCATAAAATGAGTGATTAATTGTAATGTGTTTCTTTTATAAAAGGACCAATATCCAGATATACCTTATGTAGCATCAATACCTAACTCAAACGTCTAAATATATAAGATTATTAAAAAATATTGAAAATCGAAACTAAAATTGCACTATTGAAATACCATTATATAAAAGGACATGCTGTCATAAAATTCTGTTTAACAGGGCTACCCGCTTTTCAGTCAAGGTTTCACATTTGATATTTAGTAAGTAAATTCGATAATCGCTTATAGTAATGCGTACTCTAAGCACGTAGACAGGCGACATGGATTGTGCTTAACATGCGCACTGCTCCGAAACGAAAAGACATGTTTAAATCATATGTCTCACACAATGGGCATACTGGATTTAAAATAATTGTGATCAATGGTCATCAATCAAATAGCAAATTCAGCAAATAGGGTACACGATATATATCACAGAAACTATTCACAGGTACTTATGTGTATGTCATTCAAAAACTTCTAGAAATCCGTCTTTTAAAATATTACCTTGTACCCTGTTCAGAAGTTGTTTAGCACTACAAAATTACATCAAAGAAGTGCCTGATGAAGCGAAATGAGACTAAGTACAGAAAAGGCACGAACGCCTGGAAATAAACTGCAAAACGATTTCATGCTTACTGGACCAGTACTGAACCGCAAATACGTATTAAAGCATTCAATTCGAATAACTTTTAAACAGCACAATAACAATTATTTTGTATTAGATTTTAATTTAATAAATAAGGATATATTTCTTCTCAAAATTACCGTCATAGCTGGACGTGAGCTTCTCCTATTGTAGGAACAATTTACTTTAATCGCCACGCTTTGCAAGATATCACAGTACCAATCATATCAATTCTGAGTATTTTACATCTGGCATAAAAAAAACTGGAACGACATTGTTATTGATACATTGATATTATAATATTTCTTAGTAACTATACTCAAAAGGGTCAAAATATTTTACTTTAATAATAACTAAAAAAGTAAAAAAGTTGTGACTTTAATTTGTTTTATACACTGTCTTAGTACTGACTTTGAAGCATTTTATTACATGAAATTTATTTTATACCATTTTGTTTTTGAAGTCAGTTATCACTTTTCATTAAGGGTGGAATTTTTACTGTTACAAGTAAAGTTGTTCCATATTATTTGAATATTCTGACCGTCTGCAGCTTGTAATGTAGCAAGATTTAATAGAATCAGACATAAATTTTCGGAAATTTATTCTATTAAGGGGAAATATCCTCAAAAAGAATCCTTCGTTATACCGAAAATATTGCAGCATTAATTTTGAAATAAATATATGGTAAAATTCAGGATTAATGTTAAGTACTATATTAGACGAAAACATGATTCCGTAAAATTTTCTCGATAGAAAAAAAATCCAAAGTTACCTCCAAACTACAACTACTAAAAATTTTGAACTAATAATTTTCATGAACTCATCTGAGACTTGAAGGATAGCAAGGTCTTTGAGTTGTCTGAAGAACTGAGACGGATTTCTATCCCCCATTTCCTTATGCATCAGTAACTGAGTGAGTTTTTTGTCTTTGGACGCACTCAATCTTTTGAATATTTCACATTTTAGCTTGTCGTATTTATTCATCGCTGGTGGGTTAGTAAATATATCCTTAACTTCCACTGAGTACTGGTTGTCTAGTTGCCCTATAACATAATTAATTTTTGTTGCGTCGCTGGTAAATTCCGATATTTTGAACTGACCTTCTATTTGTGAAAACCAAATCTCGGGCTAGTCAGGCCTAATTTTTTTTTTTGTGGGTTTTGTGGTTGGGGGGTGGTGGGGGGGTTTTTTTTTTCCTCGTTTTTTTTTTTGGTTTTGGGGAAGAAGGGTGACAATAATTTGTCTATATTAGTCGCTATTTAATTTTCACACAAATCAAGCAAGTATTAGTACGTAAGCGTCTGACCTGGACTAACCGACTGATCAAATGGGCGGTGCTCTCATGCTGCCGACTCGCAACCACTGCCTTACTATACTATTATATATGGTCTTGTATCGACGACGCCACGCTAGATCGAACC